CTAACAGCTTCCGGATCAATAGGTTTATTTTCTGATGCACAAGAAGATTTTTCAATAAAATCAGAACTTATTTGGTTTTCTGTCGCTAATTCAGCTGTAGCTTCGGCTGTTAGATCAGTATAAAGGTGATTCAGACATACGTGATTTATTTGATTGGAATGCCATCGTACAATTTTTCCTTTCCCTAAATCGATTTCAGAAGTAACATCATCGTCGCCAGTTGTAATGTTTTTGTATCATAATAGCATTTAATGTGTTAAATAAGACGCATACACTTCAGTTACATTTTATTGAATGGCGAGGAATCTACCTCGAATTCTGAATAACTGTCCAACATAAGAAAAATAATAAAAGAAAATAACATTCAGTTTTTTTTACATTGCTCACCAGTGGCAGGTGGTATTCGAATTTGCCACACCTTCATTGACCGAATAACGAACGACCATGTGACAAGACCTCTTGATGCACTACGCCATGGTAATCGAAGGAAACATTCAGCAAAATCTTGACATTTGATCAAACTTAGTGTTCTCTTTTTGGTTTTGGCTCTCCTAGGATGACTGGACTTTGGTGTCGGTGTCATAACCATATGCCCATGATTCGTCACCAGTTTTAACCCTTTCAAGCAGATCTGGTTGCCTGTTAACGTCATTCAATAATTCCTGCGTTTTTTCGAAAATCGAAAATTCAGCAATTTTGAAACAAACTTCGCTGTCACAAGCTTCATGGCCAAAATTTACAAAAAAAAAAATGCATAACCTGAGCCCACCGAAATGCCAACATCCTTAGCAACTTCTCTAATAGTGATTCGACGATTCTCCATAACAATTTTCTTCATTTTCTCAACATTTTCATCGGTTTTTGATGTGCTTGGGCATTCAGGGCGAACGCCGTCATTCACATCTTCTCTACCTTCTGTGAAAAGCTTGTACCACTTGTTAACATTTTTCTGACTCAGAGTAGAATCACCGTATGTCACTGTCAACATTTCAACTGTTTTTTGAGCACTCAATTTCATTTTTACACAAAATTTGATGCAAATTCTTCTATAATTTTTTTCGATAGCAGAAAATACTCTCGCCAACAAACTGAACATACAAAACAGCTGAAACTGTGAATATATGTTCAAAATGAGTGTACCAACTTAAAAAAATGAAAAATCGTTAATCGCTTATTTGAATATTCAGCTTATTTTTCGAACGGTCCACGTATATATAATAATAGGGCGCCAAATAATTGATTCGTGCGCGGTTTCTGGATGATTGAGGCCGGCCCTGACTAGGATTCTCGCGAGATTCACAACAATATACTTCAGAAAAGAAATACCATTATGTTCAGATAAAAAACAAATAATTTTCACATACCCATCATCACTTCCATTAGACATCATTACATTTACTCATTCACCAACTTGTACAAGCCATTATTTATATTATTCGATATATAACATGCTACTAGAATCAAACCGAACATTTAGTTCCATTATAATAAACTAATTAAAGTAAATAACGATTAAAGTTCATTATGTGTGTGTTTATGTTCAAGTTATATCAGCTATTTAATAATTTCATGATTACAGTTTGTTTTGGACCACTCGGAAGATGGTGTCGTGATCTTTCGCCCATTTTGGTTTTTGAATATCGCAATAAGTCTATAAATAATTTCTTTCGACAAGGCTTACTCACTGAGTATGTTTCAGATCGTTTCAGGTTTCCTTAGGCAGTTAGAAAACATTCTAGAATGTCTCGTTATTTATAGAACGTGAAATGATGCGTAAAATCGACTCACCCAAATATTTACCGTTACCAAAATATAGTGGGAAAATGCATCTCTCCACACTATGAGATGAGTATCTAACCATTAGATACAGGAATTTTCTGACAGCCTTCTTCACGGTGTCTGTTTTTTGATCAATGACAGAAAGAAAAAGGATGAAAAAGGGTAAATTATTCAGGTATTTTACTTATCAAATTGAAATATATGCAGTATCAAGGACATCGACATATCTTCTAGTGTTAACACTATCGCATTTGAGGATATATATCATTTCGCTCAAAAGTATTTTGGATAAATATGGTTGAACACCTACAATAGGTAGATGATCAAAGTCAAAAATGTGTCCATATTCTCTTTCATGTTCAACGAGGACTGTGGGGTTTTTTATATTTAGTTTCGTAGAGTATCTCATGTGCTCTAAAACTCGTATTTGAAGATATCATTCACTTTGACCTACATAGCATTTGTGACACCTTCCACAGTTCAATTTGTACACTATATTGGATTGTATGTCTTGTGGTGTTTTTGTATTTTGTTTCGTGAAAAAATGCTTTCCAACCGTATTTTCTTTTGTATTTATTATTGTTTAATATCACGAAAATGAGCGTCACACTGTGGTTGGAGCTCAGAGAGAAAAATATGATTCAGTAACCTATATTTATATCGGTAAAAATTCATCAGATGGTTTCTAGCTGAAACAATAATAAGCTGTATGGAAAAGAGGAAATTAAACGTCTAACATGTGAATGAATCATATGAAAATGTTTAAGCTTCATGTCATTTTATACTTTACGAATTCATGCAGCCAAATTCTAATAATTTTACGATCATAAAATAAATCTTCGGCCGTCAAGATGCTGTGAATCGATGACAATCTCAATAGTCACAAACATTCAGGTGACGGCGATTTTTGGGGAAAAAAGGTTTTGGTTATGAATTAATTGAGTACTTCATCTTGCAGGGTTATACAGATTGGTGCTGAAGAGGCAATGAGGCAAATGTCTCATTCCGAAACATCGCTATTTTTTTTCGTGTAATCCAACGTTTATATGAACCCAGGCATTGGTTTTCTCCAAAAAGATAAATGTCTCCGAACCGGATATAATAATGTCAGGACCGACAATTCCACTTTCTGCTTTGATACGTTTGTTGGCGGTTGAAATGGACACCAATATGTCTTAGGATAATCATATCACTGGAACTGCAAAAGCTGCATCTCGAAAGCTTGCAACACTGTTCCAAATCAGAAAGTTGTACACACCTCAGCAACTTTTGATGCTTCATAAAGCTCAGATCAGACCCTCTTTGCCCCAAAGCATACTCCAAAGCTGCTGGATTCTCCATCCAGAAAGCCATCCGCCTGATTGGAGACGCGAACATCACCAGCAACCTTGATAATCTGGAACATCGAAGAAAAGTTGGGGATCTGTCTTTCTTCTATAGATACTTTCAAGGAAGATGTTCAAGTGACTTGACACATTTGATTCCACCAAAAGCAGTACATATCAGAAATACGCGACGAACTGTGGCTGCTCCTCGTTTTGAAGTTCAACTCAGTACACCTAGAACTTCACTGCTCAAGAACTCTTTCATTTGGAGAACTGTGTTTATGTGGAGTGAACTTCCTGAGAATGTTTTTTCGCACAGGCACCTCTCTTAGAACGTCTTAACTAATTTCCTGTAGTGATTGTGTTTTTTTGTCCTTAAAAAAGGTTGTTTTTTCGAGAGGCCTTTTTTTCCCAGTTTGTATCTGAAAGTTACTTCTTTGCCTGAACTACACATTGTTTTGTAAAGAGTTTATTTCAAAATTAATTGCTTACTTTTTTTTCAAGATTTCCACATTTTCGGTATTAAGATAGAGAAGTAGAAAGCCAAACCCTTAAAATATAGGATAGTAGCACACTACATCCTGGAATATAGCTTTTTGTCGTTGTTGGAAATCCCTGTTGATGTTGCTGATATTTCGAGGTATAACCTTCGTCCTCACAGTCAAAGCACATACCACTGATGATATCCACCGCAGTTATAGACAAAACGACCAAGGCCTACCAGCATGGATATTTTCTTCAATCGTAACTTCGGCCGTGAAAGTCTATGTTCATAAATCTAAGTACAGTTCCCGAGCACAAGACATATCAATTGAATAAAAACTAAAACGAAGGAAAGTAAAAAAAATCCACAGTGTAAATAAAAGAATTGGAAGTGATTTAACCAATTGATGAACATTCGTCAGTTTATGATCATACATAAATCAAACTCGTATATACTGTAACGAATTAAAGAATTAACTGTCTTAATCAAATTTATTTTTAACAATATTTCACTATCACAACTAATTTATATACCACACTTAGTAACTAACGCTTATAATTATCTTCACAGTTAGATTCCTTTCTTTAAACGCACGATTCACTTTCTAAGTACAGACTACTCCTCGGCACGGAGAGCGACCTTTTTATATCGTCAACGAACGTTCCGGATCTCACTGCGGATTTCGGGACCCATCCACACCTTTCGCGCTGTTTCGCGATGAGAAATGCGTTTGCTGACTGGGACATCGGTCAGGGCCGGCTTCAGATTCATTAAAATACTTATACTCATGCAGATAACATCTACAGGCCGTTTTTTAACTTATCCCACTTGTGCTATTTCGGAAACAGTAAGACCTACAAGGTCGTTCAAAATAGACGAAAGTTTTCTATTTTGGGGAGCTAGAATAATCTCTTTTCAAGTTGATAATATCGGTGGTTGTTTTTGAAATGATCGCCAAAAAATAGAATTGTTGAATTTCGTTTTTTGACTCTACAAATACGGACCTCTAGTTTTTTTCATAAATTTTTGTAGCCACATACGAGCTATGCATTACGATACATGTGTTAGTCGACGTTTTCCTCATTTACACGACGATTTGGCAAGATTCCACTCGATCCCAATTGATCCCTATTGATCCCAAGTTAACTGAACTTGAAACTGAAAGCATTTTTGTCGCTGCTTGTCTATATATATTGATGAGGGAATTCAATGATTCAGATGCATTATAAATATATTGTGTTACTTCCCAATGGAAATAGTTCGGGGTAAACTAAATATGTTATTGTTGCTAACAGAAAACCAATATCAAAAATAATCTCATGGACCTTGGCTGTTATTTGGGACACTCTAGCCAATCAAGTAAAAACGCGACAATAAAGAAGAAGAAATACCATTTGACGTTTCGAGTGACATATTCTCAAATAATTTTGTTGACGTTTTATACTTAGGTGTCTTTCAAAATAAATTTTTCGAAAATGTAATCTAAAATTTATTATCTTCCATAGGATGTATCTAACAAAGAGTGTAACAAAAATTTTATGTGAAGTACTGATTATTACGTGAATTCTTGAAACAGTAAGTTAGTAGGTCGATCAATAATTCAAATATTCCAAATATTTTTTGGGCAACACTTTTTTTACTGTTTACTCTGTCGTTTCTCCTATTTTAACTAATTCAAGTCAATATAATTCCCACCAAAGAACTATACAATTTACCGACCTGGATGAATTTTAGACTGCTTCATAATAAATCATTTGAATCAATATCTTTCAACTCTTTGTTTTTTCTCTTGTAGTTGAACTACTTGACCTATTCCAATCATGCGATTCAATAAACAAGAGCTAGTGACATTGGCTACACAGCCATCAACCAAGTTTGAAAAAGAGGGCATTTTGTACATACGTGAACGACAGGAAGGATTTTTTAGGAAATCAGAAAGTGAGTACACTAAATGTGTGAAAATCCCGAGGTATGAATTATCATTACTGATAAATAAAAATATTACCTTCGTATCTTAAAACATTTCTTGAGTGTTTGTTTATATTATCAATATATTCACCTAATTTCCACAACTGAGAATATCTTTCAAATACAGAGCAAAAAGTTAATGTTTTTTTTGTCTAATATTCTGTAAATGATAATTATTCAGATACCTACCTCGAGCTTTTTTCAAATAGAAATTCATTGAACTTACGTATTTTTGTTTCTTGATCACGAATCACAGCCATCCAAAAGACGAAACTGTTACAAAATTCATCTACTTTACGAACTCATTTTTGTTATTGAAAAATTCTATTTTACGAACCTTTATTCATCTATCTTGAATGTTTTCAAATAATAAAAAACTTCTGCATCATCAAATGATTCCTTTTTTGTGGAACGTTTTCCCAAATGATATTTTCACTTCACTAGAATTTTTGTTAGATATCAAAGTCCAAAAATACAAGTTGTCTTCAAATTAAATTTTACTAAACTTTGACTTAAAAAAACAAAATAACACACAGTATTCAGTTATTACATATAAAAATCTGTGCATATAAAAACACCTGTATTGAGTTCTCCCTCACGAACTCCAAATGCATGAACTTGTATTATCAAAGCAAAATGGAAATGCCATGAAAAAGCATGTGCAAACTAGATGCATCTATGTATGCATGACTGTATAAACTTCAATGTTGTCATCTATTAATCCATGTCATTAATTTTATGTTGATATTTTTCAGGATATATAGAATAAAACACCCACAAATACTTTTGATTCTACTAGGGTACTGCTAGATTCTTCCCCTCTCAATTATTAAATAGTTTGAATGGGAGTCCCTTTGCCAATAATATGAACTACTGGCATATAAAACTCAATAATTTTTCATTATTCTTAGTAGTTTTTACACCTCTGTAAAAACAATAAAAAATCCACTTCAAGTTTTCATGTATCAAACACTAATCTGATAACATGTTATATGGGAAACTATAACATTCTGATATAATGAAGTGTGTAATAATTGTAGAAAATGCAATGACTTCAGTTCAAAGATAAGACAAATATGTTATTTTGTTTGATAAAAGTTACATACTCCTGGAGTTTTATATTTATTTTCAAGCCATAATTTTAGGCTTTTCATCCAATGGAAATACATAAGCTAGCAGAACCCAACAACAGAATAAACTTTTTGTTGAATTAGATAACGCCATAATTTTACGCACATTTGAGACTCCTAATCCCTCTTATCGCGGATTTTTCATGTGTTGTTTTTTTAAAAAATCTGCTAGCAATACTAGCAGAACCAAATCGAAATTCTGCACTTTTTGGAAATTTCGAACTTGCAATTATTTCAGGATAATTTTAGGTTTCTTAATTACCCTAATGGACAATTTTTTGTTACTTGTTTCATTTAAATATCTGAGTGTTTACCTTACACATACGAAGTCTGTAAAAAAATAAAGTGAATGTTCCAATTTCGCGGGCTACTTACATTCGATTAGTGTTTTTTTTATGTTGGTACACTCTTCCCGAACATATGTTCACGGTTTCAACTGTTCAGCATGTTTAGTTTGTTGTTGAGAGGCATAAAAGTAAGAAGTGTTTTGTGTGTTTGGCGATTTTCTGCAATCGAAAAAAAGGATCAAATATTTTGCATCAAATTTTGTGTAAAAAATGAAATTAAGTGCTCAAAAGCACTAAAAATGTTTACAGTGGAATACGGTGACTGTACTCTGAGTCAAAAAATGTTTAAAAGTGGTACAGACTTTTCACAGAAGGTCAAGAAGATCAACATCCGATAAAAATGTTGAGGAAATGAAAAAGATTTCCTGGAGGTTTTTTCCCAACACCAAATCGTTATTTTTAACACCTCGACACGTGTTTCGATCACCAAGTGATCATCTTCAACACCAAATCGTTATTTTTAACACCTCAACACGTGTTTCGATCACCAAGTGATCATCTTCATGAGGAAGATTAAACTGTTTAATCTTCCTCTTGAAGATTCGTTATTTTTAACACCTCGACACGTCTTTCGATCACCAAGTGATCGAAACACGTGTCGTGGTGTTAAAAATAACGATTTGGTGTTGGGAAAAAAACTGCAGTAATATTCATTACTACACCAAAGGTTCCAAACAGTGCATCATAAGTATTTCCTGGAGATTTGTCAAATCAATTTTAGAGAAGTTGCTGAGGATGTCGGTGTATCGGTTGGCTTATGCCATGCAATTTTTTCGAAAATTTTGGACATGAAACATGTGCCCGCTCCACGATAAAACTGGTGGTTGAAAAAACTAGTGATTCGAAGAAATGCAGAAAATGAAGTGTGAAATTTATCATAAATTCATATTTACATTAAAACCATGGTTCGGTTTTACTGTACTCAGATTAATCCCGTACTTGAGGAGTATTTTTGGAATATTAGTTTTGCTTTAACTCACATAACCCAATTATTTGAATCAGAGGAGGAGCAGACAATTTTTCAATAAGGTGATGAAGGGCCCTAAAACGAGCTGAAAAATATTGCAAGTTCAAACTTTTCAGAAAGCGAAGGACATTGATCTAGTTCTGCCAGGGTAAAGTTGAAACAATGCGTAACAAGTTCAATGAAAGCTCTAAAAAACATTGTTCATGAAATAATGAGAATTGACAGCATCAAATCCTTCGATCGGCTGAACAAATGTACTCTTTATTTTGCGTAGGGTCAGTCGATTCGTGAAATTCTTTGCCTGAGAAACTTCTTTAATGTTTCACCCAATTTTAATGAGCACCCTGGTATCCGAGACTACTTTCCTTAGTTTTTATTCGCAAAATCCTTATACCATCATGCCAATATCCCTTTTTTGTTTGGTGTAAGAAACTCTCACTTCTGGTCCCTCATCTTTGGTTTGGTTACCCAGGCTCTATGTGGTGGTCATATCTTCTCGCTGGACATTGGTGTCAGTGTTTTCTATCGAAATTGAAATTGGTTGAGCTTTAAACTGACCGCAAATTTTAGACACCTTCAGATTATTGAATGATGCAAAATAGATAGGCTCAAATTCTCCATAGTCTTTTTGAATAATTAGTTTGTCAGACAATTTTATTCTATACAAAAACTTCCACTGTATCTTAAAGACAAAACACAACTGGGAAATATGGCAAAAAGTATTATCATTTGCGGACGCAAAAAAATTACTTCTCCGTATTCATTCAAAATATGTGTGAAACTTGCAAAAGAGAGAAAAAAGCAATTAAGTTCAAAATAAACTATTTACAGAAATGTGTAGATCAAGCACAGACATTACTTCCAAATACAAACTGGAAAAAACCCTTTGAAACAACAACTACTTTTACACGAACATTGAATTTTTATGTAATTCAATGTTCATGTAAAAGTAGTTCATGTGAACCGTACGAAATAATTGTTTTCTATTCGGTTTGTACCCCAAACATTCGTTATGGAAATGAAACAGAGTGTCATTCATAGAAACACTACACATTTTATCTATATGAAAGAGTCACAATACAAAATTTCACTCACAAAGAACACTGTCATCCTCAAATGGTGTACTTCGAAGTTACGGAAAAGACACCTAAAAAATATACGCCTGTGAATTTAAATAAAATTCCTATGGCTGGGAGCAAATTAAATTACTTCGAAGTTTCAGAAAAAGATGCATATCCCATCAGCATGAGGTTATTTGATTTGATCATGACCTATGAATCTTATTCATATGAAAGGGGTAAATTTTTCAGATAATAAGACAGGTGTCTTGTTCCGAAATTTTGAAGTACACCATAGGAGTGTTCCATGTAATTGAAATTTAAAATCATGATTCTTTCATGTATTATATCGTGTAGCATTCCATTAAATGATATCTGTTTCAATTCCTCGGGAAATGTTTGAAGTAAAAACTGAATAGAAAAAAGGGATTTTCATATAATTCCGTGTTCACATAAAAGTAGCTGTTTCGAAAATGTTTTTCCTTTCTTGTGATTTAATTCTCGATTCAGTAAGATAATATAAAAAAGAAAAATTAGAATCTCTATGGGTGAAAATAAATACAGAGTTGATATCATGATCCTTCATTGAATATTATTTATCTCTATTCAGTAGTACTTAGAAATGATAGCCAATTTATAATAATTTAGTTATAATTAATAGTTGGTGTTCTATGGACTGACACATGACTTAATGAAATAAACTTATTGATTTATTTTCGAGGGCGTAATTTCTCAATTATACACAACTACTTCAAGCAAAATTTGGAATGATAACACTTTTAATATATCTTTGTGCCATTTGTCTCCAGATTTTTCTCCATATTTTATGACTGAGCTGTGTATTTTATTAGATGCAGAGTTTTTTTTTTTAATTTGCTGACAAACCATAAATATAAACGTTTTCCATTTGTAAAGAACTTTCGACCCAGTACCTGTCTAAGTATAATAAATATACCATTTACCATACACTATTGTGTATCTGATATTGAAAAAGATATCGAGAAAGAAAAGTAGAAATATACATGAAATATAAAGTTCCATTCACATACTTTAATGATCGTGCGTTGCAGGAAAGGAAAAGAGACAAAAATATGAAAAACGACTTCGCAATCTCAGCTGCGTTGGGGTCGTGAGCAAAGGTACTACAATAAGTCGCACCTGAGTGGAAGTACCAGGTTATCTTGATTTTCGAATGTACCTTCAAAATGTAATGGGATTCGTTTTATGTATGTAGTTGCAATGAAACGGATACATTCTTATTATCTAACAAACCATATCATTTTTCCTTTTAGCAATTCATGAATCCTTCTAGAAGTACACCAGCTTTTTGTACTATGATTGTGTTCAATGTTGAACGTATCATTTTTAACCAGAATGAAATCATTTAAAATACTGCTAGGTTCATTTTTTAAGATAACCTGGTAACTCCTATAACATATAACAGATACACACACCGCTAACCAGTTTT